TTCCAAACTTTTACATGGGGTTGGTGCAAGTGAGAGTTGCTGCTCCAAGTTTGTTCACACCATGTTAGGTTTATTGGGAATTTGAGCAGAAGGGGGCTCCTTAAGTGCTGTTCAGTGAGATTGTGAGAAAAAGGATCGATATAAGCCCAACTTTCCTACCAGACAACTAATCTGTGGGAGCTTTGCCAAAACTAATTAAGAAGGAAAAAAACTCTGCAAGATAACTCCTATCTGTCAGTGCCAGCTGCAGGAGTGCTGCTCCCGGTGTTGGCTGTATCCTTATAACTCCAAACATACCTGGCAGAAGATTTGAAGCTGTAAAACCAGCTTGGTTTCATTAGAGGATTTTGAAAAGCAAAGCCCTTGGTGTGAAAGGATGTCCCTTCCAATGTGCTTCAACTGCTGTTAAATATTTTACTTGGAGACTTGTAATATGCACCTTAAAAAACATTTCAGAGTGTGGAAATATTGCCTAAATGAGCTTCACATCCATCAGTGGATATTATTCCTTCCAGCTCCATATAACCCCCAGACACACGAGACCAAAATCCCTCCCTTGATCTGCTTGCTTCGATCCTGGACACTCAGTGTGAGACTCTTTCATCTGTTAATGAAAGACAAATATTGCAAGTAACATGAAGGTGGCATTGTTTGTCAGTGCTACTAAATCCATGGGTGCCCTGAGGCATCCTAACATCACACAACAGCACTGTCTTAGCCCCTGACACAGGCTCCAGCCCACAACCTGCCCTTTTTAGTGCCTATTCTTTGGGTCTACTCAGTAATGAGGACATAGTGGATGTGTCAGGAATGTGGTGGGGTGGAAGTCTGGCTCAGATGGCACTTTGAACCCCCCAGCCTAGCCACAGACAGGTTCTCCTGAAGCCATCCTGGAGGGGTCCTGGGGGTCCCCTGTCCCAGCCCTGTTGTCTTACCCATGCCCTGTAACTGCCCACTGCTCTGGCAGTGCCAAGCCAGGGGAAAGCCATGCTGCTGGCCCTCCCCACGGCCTGAGCTGATAAGAGGTGGCTCGGTGTTGGCAAGGACCAGGATGCTCATCCTGAGCCCCAGCTCTGCCAGCTGGGACCACTCCCCATCCCTCGCTCTCAGCATCCCAGCCCTTGGATATTATTGCTCTGGGGGCAGCTCTGCCCTGGGGAGGGCCCAGCCAACCTGACAGGGATCTCCCCAGCTCTTCTCCCTTGGCATTAGCTCCAGACAAACCTCTTGGTGTTGATGGACATCCTCCAAAACAGCTGCTTGCCAAGAGCTGAAGAGGTTCACTTGCTTTTTCAGGTCAGATGGCAGCATTAGCCTGTGGATGTGCCAAGGGGGGATGTCTCAAGACCATGCCTTTCAGTGAGGTGTCTCCTACTGCCCCTAAACTTTTTGGTGAGCTGTCAGCTGTTGATGAAATGGAGCTCTTTGATGCTCTGCAGCAAAAAGAGCATCTGCTGTCAGCACTGACCTAACCTGATCTGCTGTCTAAAACCCTTTGATGGAGCCATGGCCCCCCAGGAATCTTCCTTGCATGGGCATCTCTTGCCAACTGTCTCCTAACCCCAAACTTCATATCTCAGCTCTGTGGATCTGTGGAGGTGAGGCAGCATTGCTCCTTGGGATGAAGCTGATCAGGAGCAAACCTGCTCTTCACCAGCTGAGTGTTTGGGAGCCACACAGCTGGTTGGGGGTTTTTTTTGTTTTGTTTTGTTTTTTCCAGTAGCATCCTGGAATGAAAAAAAACTCCTGTGAAACTGGCTAGGACTTTTTCAGTTAATTATTTCTAATTGGAAAGAGGCCAGTTGGGGAAGTGAAACTTCTTGGCAGAGCAGTGCCAGCTTCTGCAAGATTTTGATAAGTGATGTTCCTGGTGGTTCTACAGTGGATCTCAGCTAGTAAATAAATAAAAAGGCTCCAGTCTTGTTGGCACTGACACAAATCCAGAGATTTTTCTGGTCCAAAAACACTTGTTTTCCAGCTTTTCTTAGTTAGTAACAGCTGCCTGATCTGAATCTTATCCTCAGCCAAGTCTGGACATCTATTTTGCTGGTGCTGCCTTAAAACATGGTCCTGCCCTTAAAACTGTTGTGCTGTAAATAAGCAAAGGGAGAAAGGATTCTTGCCATCATTTTTCACCAGGAATTTGGAGACAAATGGATGAACTGACCTGGGGTCAACAGGACCCCCTGTCCTGCAGGCACTGGCTGTGCTGCTCCTGCCCTGTGTAGAGGAGCTGATGGTGCTGGGGTGATGTTTTGCTGCTGTGCTTAAAAGTGAGGATTTGGTCCAAATATCCCAAAAATGCTACCCTTGTCCTCTTCTAGATCAAAATAGCACCCACAGCTGCTGGCTTGGATTTTGAGGGTTTCCTATAGAGTCATGAGTAGGCTCCTATACTCACAACCATACATCAGATTTCTTATGGCCTTTCTGCTAAAAATAGCCCTTGAAGACCCCAAATAAAGCAGCTCCCCTAATTGTTCCTGCCTGTAAAACTGGGAGCAGTAGTTCTCCTCCAAAGAGACAGCCAAAGCCTCTGATCCTGACCTAACAGAAGAGATGCTAATTAAAAGCTGACCTCCCATATTTTCCTTTTTGGTATATTTAACCTTAAATTCCTTCAGGCACCTCTGGTTCACTGAAGCTCATCAAATTAATGCTACCTAATGGGAAGCAGTATGGAATAACAAAGAAGGACTGTCTCAGTTTCTGACTCGGTTTCAGCTGCTCTGAACAAACAGGAGGGTGATTTTGCCTGGCAGTCGGGGTGCTGATGGACCCGTCTTTGAGCCAGGACACTGGGACGCCCACTGCAATTAGCACTCAGGAGTGAAGGCTCCGTTTGCTGGGGATGCTGCTGGGATAAGCCCTGTGAATTTTGCCACCACGCTGCTAGAGGTGAGGAGTTTGTCGAGGTGCTATAATAAAATCCCAGTTGCTGGTGGTGCCTGTCTGGCGCAGACCTCTCACTGCCCTCCACAAGAAGGAACAGCAACCTCGAGTCTCTGTGAGCCAGGACCAGATCCCAGCCCTGCCCTGAATGGGGGTACATGTCTCACTCGTGACCTGGTGGTGAAGCTGAAGCCTCATCCTGTAGGTTTGACCCTCTGCCCCTGCTCTGCTTTGTGTTTGGTGGAGATTGGGAACCTTGGCCAGCATCATGAGGGAAGGAGTGCTTGACTCCTGGGGAATCACATCAGCTCTCAGAGTTTCTAGTCCTGCTCTATTGCTACAATAAAATAATTTGCATTTCCTAGGGCTGTTCTAGGGTTTTTCCCAATGCAAGTATGGTCAAGTGTGAACCAGAGAGCTGAACCATGCATAGCCACTGAACTGGCTACAATTTGGCCACCCTCCCCTAAAGCTATGCTGCTCTTCCAGGCCAGCATGCCTTATCCTTTTTCCTCCATAGCCCATAATTAGTGCTGAGGAGGATGGGAGAGCCCTTTGAGCCCCTCGAGGGTTTGTTGCTGTGGGGTGCAGAGCTGCCCCCAGCCTCAGCTCCTCCGGAGGGATGGCTGGAGGACCCGAGGCAGATTGATAGGGTGACAGCCCCACAGAGCCTGGCAGTTGACTTGGCCTTGTTCAGGAGGAAAAAAAGGCTCATTGCATTTGTGGTTTGTCACCTGGGAGTGAGCTGTGACAGCAGGGACCCGGGGGCTGGCTGTTTGTGGAACACTCAGAGATCCCCACGTTGAAAGAGCTGATGAAATATGAAATTATCACCCAGAGCTGCCAGCACTGGCACAGGGAAGGATTTGGCTCCATGAACACTCACACAGCTGCTTTGGATTCACCTTGCCTCTCCTTTTGCCTGTGCTGTTGCTTCCCTTGCTGTGGCCACATCCCTCGTTGCCGCTGGCAGGGTTTTGTTCTCCCCACCCTTGGGAAAAGCCATTCCCCACAGCCTCTCAGTACTGGAGGCCCTGTAGCACCACCCTGACCTTTCCAGGCTTGAGCCTGTTACCTGCTTGGATAGTTTGATGGCATCTGATGTCTGCTCTCAACCCCTGCACACCCACCCTGCCCACTGCCCTGCTTGCTCCAGCAGCAGCTCTGACCCCAGACCATGGGGATGTGGGAACTGGCTGGGGAGAGCTGGCAATGCCCCAAGGCTCAAAAACCAGCAGCTAAGAGAGTTAAGCCTCTGTGCCCCAAGATTTGGGGGTTCCACCTGTGTTCATGCCGGGGGGGGTGTGGTGTGTGCTGCATCCTCCCCATATGTGACAGGGAGCAGGCACGGAGGAGGTCAGAGCAGTGTGTTAACGCCACTGCCGTGTTTACACAGCGGCAACTGTGAAGGCTCCAGAAAGACATCCTGCCCCCACAATGGCTCCTTTTGGGGCAACTTCCCCACTGTGCTGAAAAGTGTCAAGGGACGATGAGCAGCTCCATGGCCCCAGCTCTTATCTGGTGGTGGGAGGCAGATAGGCTGGCACCGCTCCCGGCGGCACGCGCGCCTCGCCCGGCTATTTATGGGGCTGAAATCCAACATGTGCGTACGTGCATGGCTGCATCCAGGGACAGGGATGGTGAGGGGGTTTCCTTGGAGGGAGGAAGTGCAGGCTGTCCTTGCAGGAGGGCAGAACACAGCCATAACCCCGCAGCCCTGGCTGTCAGCTCCCATCCCAGCACTGTGGCTCTGGTGGTGCCTGATAGAGGTGAGAGGAGCCCTTATCTTGGTTTCCCCAGTAGCAAATGTTAGTGCCTTTATTTTAAGCACCTTCTTCTGAAAATGATGTCAAGCTGGCTTGGAATATCCCTCCTGGTTTAGGCAGATGCTAAAACTGAGAAGCCCACAACTTGTGCAGAATGTGTTTTCGCTTTTGCAAACTTTTGTACAGCGCCCGCAGTGGTTGGTTTTTCCATGTGTGTGTTTGGTGGTTACTTGCCTGCATGGGGTGGGGGAGCAGGGCTGGGCACTGCTGCCTCCACTGCCTGCTCAGCTGCCTGGCAATGCTGCCTCACCACCACCAGCTGTCTTCTGCTCTGCCCCCAGCCATGCCAGAGCCTGTCCACGCCTACTCCTGCCCGCTCTTCTGGACGGAGTACGAAGGTCACTGCTACCGCTACTTCCCCATCAACAAAACCTGGGCTGAAGCCGACCTCTACTGTGCCGAGTTCTCCATTGGCATCAGATCAGCCAAGCTGGCCTCCATCCACAGGTGAGGGGTGCAGAAACATGTCATCACAGCATGGGGAGGAAGGGAAATGGGGACAAAGTCCCATTCCCACAGCACAATCTCTCTGTCAGCTGTAGCTTCGTGTTCCAGCCTAAGCATCCTTCTGCAGCAGCTACCTGGTCAAGTCTGATGCACTGGGCACACAAAGGTGATATAGAAAATGTCTTTTCCTGGACTGGCAGGAAAACTGGCATAGTATTCCCTAAATTTCCACAAACTGTGTTTTTTACTCTTGAAAAAGGGATGGAAGTGCTGTATAATTACACAGGCTTTTTCTCTCATTCCCTCTCCCTGAGCTCTCACCAACTCCTCTTGCCCAGACCCAGGGAAGTAGTAATTAGAAGAGAGGGACCCATTTGGCCATGGGTCCAGTGGTAGGGGGAATGCTTAGGGGCACTCCTGACCATTTGCTGACATCCCCCCTCGGTGGCTCTGTGTTGCTCTGTTTTGCCAGCTGGGAAGAAAACGTGTTTGTGTACGACCTGGTGAACAGCCGCGTGCCCGGCATCCCCACCGACATCTGGACAGGACTCAATGACCTGCGTGAGGTGAGAGCTCTCTGAAATCGTGTGGGAAATGGCTTTGAAAAATTCACCTCTCTGCGTTTTCCCCCTGTAAAGCCACTTGGTTTTCTCCTTTGCCCCTTAGAGCCCCATTAACAAGGTGGTGGCATAGGATCTGTTGTGCAGTACATGGAGAAAGTTGTCATTTCTTCCCTTCCAGTCTGCTTTTAAAAGTGCTACTAACATGAATATAAATAATTAATAATTATTCATATTTTATTACTGGATTAAAAGAAAGAGTATTGTACTGCTTGTTCAAGAAGAGCAAATAAACTGAAAAGGTCTCCGGTGTCAAAAATCACCAAGTTCCATTGCTCTCTTGTGATACTCTGTGACTTTTCAAAGCTGACATGTTGGAAATATATAGTCTAATATGTTAGAAAGAAAAATCGAGACCATCAGGAGAACAGTCCCATGTCAGCAAATTTTTCATAGATACTGAGAAAGGAATGGAAAAGAAAGAGGAAAAGGAACACAGAATTGGGTGGGGGTGTTAAAAAAGAAAATATGGATTTAATTTCTGGGCTTCCTCTGGTGAGAACACTGTGAATTCTGGGGCTGTCCTTGGAAGTTTTCAGTTGTAAAACCCAGATAAGGTGTTTGGCCTCTGCTGAGTGGTGACAGTCTCTCCCCATGTCCCTGGGCTGTGTGGCACTGGGGATGGAGATGGGGTCTCCAAGGGAGTGGGCCCCTCACCCTCTGCAGTCGTGGGTCTGCAGTGATGGCCTTTCTCCACCCATCCCATGCCAGGAGGGTCACTTCGAGTGGACAGATGGCTCCTCCTACGACTACCACTACTGGGATGGCAGTCAGCCTGATGATGGGATCCACTCCATCCCGGAGGAGGAGGACTGTGTGCAGATCTGGTACAGACACAGCAGTGGTGAGTGCTGCACTGGGTACTGAGGGCACCTTCAGCGTTGTTTGCATGTCAATAAATTCAATGCAGCGCAGCTCCTGCTTTTCTGAAGAGTTTGGAGGCAGGCAGAGGATTTTCATTTCACTTTTTTAGTCTTATTTTCTTTCTTCATTACAGAGAAGGGGTATATCTTCCCTTTTCACCGTGTACATACACACACACAGACACACAGACACACACACAGACACATACGTATTCCTGCTGCTCACAGCCCATCTCCCTCTTCCATAGCAGCAGCAGGGCAGGAACATCAGCTGCCTTGAAGAATTACCAAATTTAGCCAAAAGTCAAATTTTCTCATTTCCCATCCCGCATGGGAGGATCATGGAAACACCCATTGGTTTGCCACCTTTTCTCTCCCACGCTCAGGCCAGGGAATCTTGCTGAAGTGGGACAAGACCCTACCTGTACAAAAATTCCACTTCACATCTTCACTGCCAGTGAGACCAGCCAGTTGTGTCCAGACTCCCAGACATACATAAATGCCCTGTCCATGGGCAGCCTCCTGATATATATGGGGGTACAGGACTGTGTTTGCAGCTACTCCTCCACTACCATGTCCAAGCTGGGCCCCAGGATCCCCTACAGATGGGGAGGGGAACGCTGGGAGGGGGCATGGCTGGGAGTGGTGCAAATGGGAGCACACCCAGGGAAAGCCTCCCATAATGGGAGGAGGTCCTGGTCCCAAGGGTGGTATGTAGTTACTTCCTTGTGCCTTTTTTCAGCTAATGTCTGGGTTTTTTTGGGGGGTAGCACTGCGCTCCTGGAATGACAATGCCTGTGGCAGAGCCTTCCCCTTCGTCTGCAAGATCCCCTCGCTGGCCCTGGACTGAGGCTGCTGGTGCTGCCCGTGCTCCCCCTCATTCTGGGTCACCTCTCCAGCCATGCCAGGGAAGAGAAGTCAGGACATGGCATGGATTGTGAGAGCCATGGGACTGCTTGGCATCCCCAGACAGCCCCTGGCTGTAAAATCCCTCCTGGGAGTGCCCTGGGGGTGAACCCGGCGCTCGACAGCGATGGGAGCTACGTTCAACAGCAAAGGAGCCCCCCAAGCCTAAGTCTGGCTTTGGGTTTCAGATTAACTATCACAGCGTATTAGAGGAAGCCCATGATTTTACCAGTACATCAAACTGTTAGCACCAAAAAATAGCCATGTGTAGGAAGTGGTTTTGCCTGTTGATCTGTGAAGGAAAAGTGTTATTTTCTGTTAAGTTATGCAAAATGCCTCTTGTCCACAGTATTTTTCTCTCTGCTAAAATAAACAGCAAACAGCAGGTGGAGGCTCCTCTCTCTTTCTGGGACTCGAGTAGTAATGACTCCCCAGGGTTTGTGTGAAAAAAACTGTTTTTTCCCCAATCTGCTCTGTATTACAGAGGTGTGGGGAGGGGAAGTAGGTGCATGGAAAAGCTTATTTCATTGACCCTGACTGGTTTTTGGGGTCCCCGGGGCAGCCTGTATGCTCACCCTGCCCTTTGCCTGGCCCCCAGCGAACACAGCGTCACCGTGGAAGGGGTGTGGGGCCAGTCACTGCCCCAGACCTCTGCAGCATTCCTGCCTGCAGCAGGTGAGCAGGGTTTGGCCCTGGCTACTTAGGGATGACTGGATCAGCTGGAGGGCATATGAGGGGCTGACACACCAGCTGGGGGTCAGCCCACCCTCACAGCCCTGTCCCGGGTGGGGAGAGCTTGTAGCATTTGGTGCAACCCTGATTCCCATGAAATAAATGATGCTCTTTCCTTCAGTCCTTGCTGATGTCCTCCTGTGCTGCAGGAGGCACCACAGAGGTACTTCTGTCTTCCAGGTAAATCATTTTTGGGGAGGTGTGTGTGGCTGTGGCAGCTGCAGTGTGCCTTGTTTGAACTGCTCAGTGGGGAGGTGGGACTCTCCTCCTTGTAAGTGGGTGAATTTGCAGGGCTTGAATGCAAGTGGGGCCAAGGTGATGCTAGGGTCCAAGGGAAAGGCAGTGCTATGGAGGTAAAAACATGCTTCTCCTTCAGGGGACACAGCTCCAAGGGCACTACTGGACCCAGTCAAATGCAATAAATCCAGTGCTCTCCAGGGAGCTCTGGGGTATGAACTCTGATCCCACACAGCCCTATAGAATCCAGGTGGCTTTGCAAGTAGCCCTGTGCAGAGGGGGCTGCAGAGGGGCCCCTTGCCTTTTCCTGGGAGCCATGTGTCCATTTGGTTCCTACTGTGGCAAAGCCCCAGGGTCTCAGAGCACCAAAGCAGCTGGGACAGCCCTGGACTGCCCCATCTCAGCCACTGCCTGCAAAGATGGGTAAAAGTATCCCCATAAAATTGTCTGGTCCCCCTTTATGTCACCATCTTAGAAATATAACATTTCAAAACTCAGACTTTCCAGGGTGGTCACACTGAATACCATAAGGTAAGTGGCTGGGGCTCCACTGGGAGCTTGGAAGTTCCTCAGATGGTAGCTCAGCTTTTGGCTGAAATATATTTCTACTTGGAGAGAAACTGGAAAACTTGGTGGGGACAATGGTGGTGTTGTAAGTGGAATGTATGTGCTGGAGCAAGTTTCTAAAATAATGAAGCGCTGTCATCCCTGATTATGTATTTTTAGAAATATATTAAAATGCTTGTATAAATATATATACAAATGGATAAGACATATAAATGAAACTATATTACTTTTATTAGATTTTATATGTATTATATACACAGATTATCCATATATTTACAGGGAAAGTAAACAATTTGGGCTGGCTGTGCCCAGAGCCCATCACTATGGGGAGGGTTGGGTGGGAGCCACACTGAGAGCTGCTGCACGGTGCCAAGCTCTACTCCGGGCTCCAGCCTGCCTCTCCCCAGTTTCCTTTCCCTGTTCCTCCTGTGTCCCCTGCTCAGAGGAGCTGGGAGTTCACCATGGCTGGGGATAGGTATGCCTCGAGCCAAACAACTGTCTTTTTTCCCTGCAAGTGGTATGAGATGTTTCAAAAGAAAGGTTAAAACCTTCCCTTGGGAAAGTGTTTGAAGACCTGGGCCCTACTGTGGCTAAAAATATTGCTAATGGGGAGCTCTATGAAAGCTGTCACCTCCAATTAATATCTTCATTTCCAGGTAAAAAGAACTGAACATGCTTGACCTGAAAGTCAGGACCAAAGTTAATAGGGGTTTTGTTTTGCAACCCCCCTGTCTTTCTCCTCAGGCTCCAGGGTCCTTTCTTAAAAATCAACCATCTCTCCTTGCCAGTGTCTTCTGTTTCACAGTAATCAAATAAAATTCAGAAAACAACAGGAGTTTTCACCTCCTTAATTAACTTCTAGTGGATCTGGCGAGGTCAGGGCTTGATGGAAGCTGGGATGTGCCCTTTCCCTCGACACAGACGGTCCCAGAATTTGGGTGGTTGGGAGGCACTCCAGCTCTCCAGGCAGAACTTTTTATTTTTCCATGCTCCTTGTCCCACAACCCCTCACTCCCTTGTTAGCTTGAATTTCTCCCTTCTGACTTGCTATATGGTGCAGGCAGTGGGAAGCTGGCAGCAGCAGGACTTTCCCACAACTTTCCTGCACATCACTTGCAAGTGATTGATTTCTGGGGGTCCTTTTATGACACTGATTTTTTTAGAAGCTGAGCATCTTCTTTTGTAGTGCATGAAAGTGGGGGTAAGCATGGACAGTGTGTGATGCAGCCTGGTAGTGAACCAAAATAGTCTCTTTGTGACAAGTGCCTTTACCCTCCTATACCCCGTTTCTGAGCTGTACAGACAATATTGTCCCCAGCCCTCCATGGCAGCGGGGAGAGATGGGTCTACCTGCACCTTTGACCTTTTGATTCCTTTTATTCCTACTATGATTATTCTTTATTTTCTGAGATATGCTGCTGGATGTTGGGATATGGGAGGTGGTTGTCACAGCTGGATGTCACCAGCAGTGCTGGTGCTGCCCAGACACAGCCTGGTGAGGATTTTCCTCCCTGGTGACTGTCTTGACTGCTCCGATGCCTGGCTGGGCTGAGCTGTCCTTTCCTCTATTAATTTGGTAAGATTTTTTTCTCCTGAAAATGACTGGGAGGATAAGGGCTGCACAGCTGAATCATGAGCTTTTTCTTGTGCATTTCCCTTGGGTTTAATTGCCTGAGTAGCAGCTCAGCTCCTGCCCTGCGGCCAGGATGGTGCAGAGTGGTTCCCTTTGACAGAGAACAAAAATATCTCAGGACCAAAAAACAGGCTTCCAGCAGCTCAGACAGTACATTACAGACATTTACTGGCTGCAGCAGTGAGGCCCATCATAAAAACAAACCCCTGGGATAAATTATGTTGCCTATCTGTGTGATGGGGTTAGTGTTAAACTCCGCAGCTTTAGTGCATCCCGAATGTGCACAGCTGGGATAGACGGAGCAGTGGGGCATGGGGAAGACATGCAGGACCTGGCTGTGTAGGTCCCAGTGGATGTTGGCTTAATTGAGATATTCCTGCTGTTCTGCAAAAGGGTTTTCCCATCCCACCTTGCACCAGCTGCTCTCTGCTGCTGCCAGGGAATGAGTGGGACACTGGGAGCCAGCAGGGACAAACCTGCTGGGAAATGTATCTCTTTCTGGGCAGGCAAAGGGCTCGGCTGAGGCAGCCATCAAGAGGCATGAGTCAAGCTGGATTTATACACCGTGGGAGCCGCTGGTGTGTGATGGCACCTTAACTAATTGCAAAAGCTCAGTGAGACTTCCAGCAGCACCAGTTCCCCTCAGAGAGGCTCACTGCTGCCAGGGGCTCCTCCAGCCTGGGGGAGCCTGGGATGGGGCTGGCTCAGGACAGGAGCTGTCCTATGTCAGGGCCCATTTTGCTGTTGATTGCTCCTTATTGGTACCCCAAAAGTCTCCCCCTCTTTTGTGGCCAAGGATTTACAAGCTTCCTGAGAAAACTGCCTTGGTGAGGAGCGCTGGCTGTGGACCAGTATCCCTGTCCCCCTTTGGCACAGGGCTCTGCAGCACAGCTGCCTAAAAAATGGTGGTTATGTTTTTTATTAACTGCTTTCGCTTTGCTGGGGCTCAGTGATTTGGCTGGAAACTTTCATTCCTGGGTGCAAATTGCCAGAGCTGCCACTGATCAGAGGCAAAGTGCAGATCTGACAGGAGTGCAATTCCCGCTGTGGTCCTGGCTTGGAAAGCCAGTCAGCCTTGAAGGACACAGGTGACGTGAGAGAAAAAGGAACCGCAGCTGGCACCGTGTGTGTGAACCCCCAGAGCTGGCCAGGGAGGATGGGGCTGTTCTGGGCTGATGCTGAAAGAGCTGATGCTGCTCAGCAATGCCTGGCTGCTGTCCCCGAGCAAGGTCCTGGGCACTGAGCTCCTGCTGCGCTTGCAAAATGTAGCTGTGTTTGGGAATCTGCAAAAAAGTCTAGTCCGGCTCTTGGGGTTACCATGGCAACTAGATATTTGCTCATTTGTATTTCTTGAAAATTATACTGGGCTGCTGATTGCCTCATTTGTGAAGCTCTTTGTCAGGAGGCCGATAAATCCCTGTTTGTCAAGGGCTGTATGGAAGCGGACGGTGCCGTTACTGAGCAGATTTCTGAATGGGAGCTTTGCTGGAGTGTGGGTGTGTTATAGCAGCATCCCTCCTGCAGACCCCCAGTAACATACCCCCTGGCCTAGGAAGTGGGTGCTTGCTCTGCTCATCCCCTCTGACATCCATTTATACTCTGCAGTTGCTTGGGATAACAAAATCCAAGTGACTCATCATGGGAGACCGGCTGAGGATGGGACAGGGGAAGGCTTGAGGGGAAACTCTTCTTGCATGGAGAGGACTTAAATAACATATCTGGCTGTGCTCAAGAATCTGCCATGGGGTAGGAAGGCAAGAGGTTTAGCTGGAAGTTAATTTGAGGAATTCCT